GCGAGGGGCCGCATGTGTGTCAGCTTGCCGGCCTCCAGGAGAGGGGGGGGGGGCGACGAGCTGGGGCTGACGACCGCGCGCGCGCTCTCGAGCTCTTCCTGGAGACTGCTGCAGCTATCGGCCGCGCTTTCCAGCGCGCGCTCTTGAGATTCTATTTCCCTACCTAGGCTCTGCCTAGAAGGGTTCTTACTCTCTTGGCTTAAAGGGGCCGGGCAGTGCTAAGCGCCCCGGGCGGTCCCCCCAGTCCCCTGGGAGCGGTTCCCCCCAGTCCCCTGGGAGCTTTGGCTTTTAGCTTTAGCTTTAGCTTCGCTTTAGCTTAGCTTCAGCTTAGCTGTAGCTTAGCTTTAGCCTAGCGTTTCACTCAGCTTTTCGCTTCGCGTTTAGCTTAGCTTTAGCTTAGCTTTAGCTTAACTTTAGCTTAGCTTTAGCTTAGCTTTAGCTTAGCTTTAGCTTAGCTTTAGCTTAGCTTTAGCTTAGCTTTAGCTTAGCTTTAGCTTAGCTTTAGCTGTAGCTTAGCTTTAGCTTAGCTGTTGCTCAGCTTTAGCTTAGCTTTAGCTTAGCTTTAGCTGAGCTTTAGCTTAGCTTTAGCTTAGCTTTAGCTTAGCTTTAGCTTAGCTTTAGCTTAGCTGTGGCTTAGCTTTAGCTTAGCTTTAGCTTAGCTTTAGCTTGGCGTCATTGTTACTACTAATGCTGCTTTCCTGGGGGTTCCAACTCCTAGGTAGGGTCGCACTGCGATAGTTTTTTTGGGAGGAAAGCCTCCGAGCGCGGGCGCGCCCTCGGCGTCGCTCCCAACCGTCGCCGGGGTGCTGTCTCCAGGAGGGGGCGCGCTGTCGAGCGCCTCTCCGGCCTCCACCGCGCTGCTGCCCCAGGGGCGCTGATGGGATTGATGGGCCGTGCGGGTGCCCGCCTGCCAGTCTCCAGGGGGTGGGGGCGGCGAGCTGCGGCGGACGACCGCCTGTTCGCTCTCGAGCGCTCCCTGGAGATTGTTGCAGATAAAGGCCACAATTTCCGATGCGCACCCCTGAGGCTCGTTTTTGTGAGGAGCGTCTCCAGGCGCGGGCGCGCCCTCTGCTGCGCTCCCAACTGTCGCCGGGGTATTGTTTCCAGGGTGGGGGCGCGCTGTCGAGCGCCTTTCCGGCCGCCGCCGCGCTGCTGCCCCGGGGGGCGCTGATGGGGGCGAGGGGCCGAATGGGTGTCCACCTGCTGGCTTCCGGGGGGGGGGGGGGGGCGACGAGCTGTGGCGGGCGACCGCGCGTTCGCTCCCGAGCTGTCCCTGAAGACGGTTGCAGCTAACGGCCGCGCGTCTGACGACTGCGCGTGCACTCTTGTTGAGTTATCCCTGAAGGCCGTGCAGCTAACGGCCGCGCATTCCGGAACGCACTCCTGACTGTCAAGTGGGCGAGGGGCGTCTCCGAGCGCGGGCGCGCCCGCTGCGGCGCTCCCACCTGTCGCCAGGGTATTGTCACCAGGAGGGGGCGCGCTGTCGAGCGCCTCTCCGGCCTCCACCGCACTGCTGCCCCAGGTGCGTTGATGGGGTTGATGGGCCGTGCGGGTGCCCGCCTGCCGGTCTCCAGGAGGGGGGGGGCGACGAGCTGCGGCGGGCGACCGCGCGTTCACTCTCGAGCACTCCCTGAAGACTGTTGTAGCTGACGGCCGCACTTCCTGATCCCCTCTCCCGGGGCTCAAGTATTTGAGCAGCGTCTCCAAGCGCGGGCGCGCCCTCTGCAGCGCTCCCGACTGTCGCCGGGGCGCTGTCTCCAGGAGGGGGCGCGCTGTCGAGCGCCTTTCCAGCCCCTGCCGCGCTGATAGGAGTGATGGGGCCGCGTGAGAGCCCGCCTGCCGGTCTTCGGGGGGGGGGGGGTGCGACGAGCTGCGGCAGACGACCGCGTGTCCCTGTCCTTGAGGACAGTTGCAGCTGACGGCCGCGCTTCCCAGGGCCCTCCTGAGGCTCCATATTGTGAGGGGCGCCCACAAGCGCGGGCGCGCCCTCTGCGTCGCTCCCGCGACTGTCGCCGGGGCCCTGTGTCCAGAGGGGCTGCGCTGTCGAGCGCTTTTTCGGCCTCCGCCGCACTCGTTCCCCAGGGGCGCTGCTAGGAGGGAGGGGCCGTAGGGGTGCCCGCCTGTTCTGTCGCATTGCCAGTCCAGTCCGCAGGTCAGCGCGCCTGCCAGGCTTGCCAGGATTCGACTAACGGTCGCACTTCCAGAGTGCATTTCGGAGCACCGGGCAGGGGCCCCACCTCCTGCGGGGAAAGGCGAAGCGACCGCAATTTCGACGAGGATCCGGCCGTGGCGACGAGCCCGGCGCAGCGTTGCTCGTCTCGACCGAGCTCGCGCTGCAGCGCAATGTAGTCGTGGGGCCCACCGTGGAGGTGGCCGTGGAGGTCGCACTTCTCGACCGCGCTGGTCGTGGCCGTGCTGCCCGAGGTCGCAGCTGGTCGTTTGAGGCGCGCGAGCGGCCGCGCAGCCAGGTGGAGGGCGGGGCGGCGGGCAACTAGTGTGCAACGAGGGCGGGCGCGCCCTGAGAGCTGGAGCTGACGGCCTTCCACTGCTTCTTGCCCTTCCTGGGTGCGCGGCTGTCGGCGTGGCCCTTCGCCACCTGGCGCCCCCTGCCTGCGCCGTCGCTGCGACCCAGGTATCGCTGCCGTAGCTGAGCCCGGTCAACGCGAGGTCCAGCGCGTCGTTCGTGGCCCGCGCATCGCAGTTGTAGCTGCGGAAGGAGGAGAGGAAATTGACGCGAGTTTGCTGGTCGTGCCGTAGCGGGTCGAGCGCGCCGGCGGTGCCGGGCGCGGCGTGCTGCTTGGCGAGCGCGTGCGGGGCGCTTGTGAACATCGCCCCCAGGGTGATTTGAAGCCGCTTTATCGTCTTGCCAGGGGTCTCCCCGGGGGGGGTCCAACTGGGCGCCGCCAATCTTAGCCTTCTGCAGCTGCTGTCCCGTGTCGGGGTCTACGGGGTCTGGCCATTGGCGCGCGGCGGGCGTCGCTGCCCAGGGCGGCGTGGTCGGTGGCTGGTCCTCGGCGCGGCGGCTGTTTACCAGACCCGCCAGCGCGTTCGGCGTCGCTGGGGGCCAGGTTTCTGTGCCAGTTTGCCGCCAGCCGGGCCACGGTGAGTACCGTGCTTGAGACGACGGCTGTCGCGGCGCAGTATCCGTGCGCGCAGGACTCGGCCATGAGTGGGAGTGGTTCTGGAGATGGTATCGGAATGGAACTGGCCGCCCCGAAATGTGTTGCGGCACGGAGATAAGTCCAGCGCAGTTCCACTGCGCTACGTCACTGGCGCGTCAACGTGGGTCGCGCGCTTGGCAGTTAGAAGACTTTCCGTTAATAGCTCATGACAGTCTACGCCGCTTTCGACAGGAGGGACAAATTTGCGCCGCCGTGCTGGAATATTATTTTGTCCAACTACCGTGCTGCATCGGACATAGTCAAATAAGTTTGGGATTTCAGCGTTGCTGCTAGTGCCGTGCGCCATTCAGGTTGGGACTGCAAGTGTTTGCCCCCGTGAACTATCACGATTGGACAAGCGCAGACTGTCGGAGGGTTGAGTTTTTCGGTGCGCGCCATGTGGCGGACGCTCCGCAGCCCGCGTCCGCAGTGTGCCATGCCATATCGGAGTGGTCCCACTGGAGGTGGCAGTCGCACGGTGCCTGCATCACGGCACTACAGAAGAGGCATCGTCAAGAGCGGTGTTGGTACTTGGCTGTCAAGACAAGACAGCTATCGAAACGCCTGATCCGAGGCCTTCCTGTCCGCGCGCTGCCATGTACTTCGCTCGCACCGCAGCCCGTGCACAACTGTTGAATCATGCCAGTTCCGATCCAATAAGTGTTGTGTCGAGATCATGATTGACATACATGTCCATCGCGGTGAACGTGGACTGTCAGTTCTAGCTGGGAGACCGAGGTGCGCTGATGGCAACGGAGACTGCGCCAGCCGCATCCATCGCCCTAACCCGCGACGTGGGGCCGCGCCAAATGCGCCCCCCCCCACGCACACGCAGGAACTGCCCCTCCGAACCGGCGCCGGATGGCAGCCTGGATCAAGTCTTGCGCCCGTGCGCGCGCCGAAACCATTCCCGGCTCCGAGCTGGCTCTGGGGCCTTCCGTTCACGGGTGCACTTCGGCCAGCTGCCGCAGTCGCTGCCGCTCCTCAGCCAATCAGCCAACTGCCGCTGCCCCAACAGCCGCTGCGTCGGAGTCTGCCCCCATGCAGGTTGACGCGCCAGCCCCGCCGCCTTGGCGCTTGCGGCGGGGGGCTCCTGCAAGCATTTGCCCGCGGGCCGTGCCGCGACATTTGGGGCGCCGGGCCGCCGCCCGTCTTTGCGACTGGCAACCGCGCGATCGCGGCGCCGCGCAATATCCGCCGCTGCGGGTTGACATCCGCGTCCGCCCATGAGACCCAGCCGCCGCGACTCCGTCGAAGTTCCCAGTGGCGCTGCTCACGGACCGATTGTTGGGCAACGGCGTTCACGCTGGTGCGTGGCGGTCTGCGCCCCGCATCCCGATGTGCGACGGTCGCTGGATGAACGTCTGGAATGCAGAGAACATCTACCGTGGATGAACGTCTGAACTGCAGAGAAAATCAACCGTGGCACGGCGTCCATGTTACCGCCGTCCCGATTTTCAATGGCGACGACTGGGCCCCCTCCGAGCGCGAGGTGGCCGAAGCCCTCGCTGCTTCTTTGCCGCGAACTTCAGAGGAATGGCCCGGATGCGCCCCTCAGGACGTCGAGATGGGCGAGCGGGGCGCGTGCGAGGGCATCGCGCTTTGAATGCCAAGGCGACTGCGCAGACACCGACTCCGCGCAGGAGGAGGGCGCTGCAGTGCCCGCAGCTGACAGGAGTACCAGCACCGACTACTTTATCAGCGACAGCTTCTCACAGGCCGCTGCTGCTGCCGCCGCGGCAACTCCTTCGCGGCTCGACAGAGATGCCGTCGCCGACCGCTCCAGATCCAACGGGCGGCGTTGTGCACGTGGATAGCCCCGTTCCCTCGCCAATCGAGGTCCCCGTTCCCGGCGGCGTCGTCGATCTGCCGTCGCGGGGGCGCATCAAATCGTTCGATGCGAACCGCGCAGAACACTGCGAGCCAACTGCATTGGCATATGACTTGTCCAATGGTCCTGACTGGCAGACTCGTGACATGAATATTTTAATGAGGATTGCCGGTGCGGGCTCAGACGAGGAGCATTGGCAGTGCATCTCCCAATCGATGAACCAAAGCCAGAGCAACGTCAACGTGATCGTGGATAACAAGCTGCAGCAGCACATGCTCTGCACTCTAGTCTTGAAGCAGACGATCCCCGCGAGGTCGACGGACATCTTGAACTGCGATTTGACTAACGCGTGGGTGCATCGCCACCTAGATAAATGTGGGCACGAGTGTTTTGCCGAGGTCATCTTGCAGAGCGTTCAGACGCTCAATATCATGCTGCTGGGGATCTGGATGGATCGCTCCCACGTCGGCCTTGCTCCGGGAGATGGCCGAGGTGGACTTCGGCGACGACGTGTCGGTGCTGGTGCATCATCCAGGACCTACGTGTCGAAATGACGCAGTCTGGTCCCCCCCCCCGCCCGCGGCGTCGCCGCGGTGTGGGGGGGGGGGGGGGGTGCTGCGGCAGATGGTGGCGTTTCAATGGGCCCCGAGGCTCTCGTTGAAGACCGCCCCGGGCTTCCTTTCGCCACCTCTCCAAAGTAGGGGCGTAGAAGAACTCGTGGAGCGGGGGCTTGAGTCCAGCGCCGACCCAGCAGCCGGCCAGGGGCCTAGATGCACGTTGGGCCTGGCCCCCGATTCGGTCGATCCTTCTCTACCCGAGATCGCGCGCGCCGACGACGTTGAGAATCTGGAGCAACTTCTGTCTATCGAGGGGCGCGCCATGCCTGATCAGGACCTCGCTCGCGTCATCAGTGACGACGCGGTCCATGCTTGGGGGATCGCGTTCGCTGAGTTCCTGGCTCAGATATGCAACTGTGGCAGTTGCTCAAGGAACCCTCCTCCCAAACGTTACGGCGGTGACTTCCACCTTCCTGGGCGCCGCCCTTGGCCGGGAGAAAATCGCCAGCGTGGGCCAGGTGCGTGGGTGGATCCGTGAGAATTTCCACCCTGAGACCATGCGAGCGTTGGTGGAGGCTGCAGCCGCGTTCCCCCTTCCGTGGCCATCGTGCCCCTGATTCAGTCCAGAGAGAGGCCATGAGATATCATTCGCAGAAATATAGTTTCCAGCGCGCCAGATTCATCGAGGCCATCAACGCGGGCCCCCACCAGGTTGCCCCGACAGGGGGCGGTGCAACCGCAGGAACCCTCCGATCCAGCACTGGCCGTGGACCAATCTGATGGGCCGATCGACGCGCGGCGCGCGGGCCTTGGCGGACGCGACCGACGCCCGCCTTGACCGCGGCAGTTCTTCGTGGGCGATCGCCGCCGCTTGGCTCTGCATAGACCTCGACGACCAGGCGCAGAAGGATATCATTCCATCGATTCGGGGCGCCGAATCGTTGGCGCATCGTGGGTGGAGGTCGCGTCGTTGCGCGTGCCATTGGCGTCGCGCGCAGTAATCCATTCGCCGTGAACCGCGCCGCAGCCGGCATCCGC